GTTGAAAATCGCTAACATTTGGTCCCAAAACCGAGCAATGTTTGCCTACTCCACCACAGCTCAGGGTCACACATTTGGAAAACGACACTGCTCGAGATCCCGAAGCTTAGCTGGGGAATTCCACCACAGTCTTCGTGTAGCCCTGACTTAGCTCTTTCCGATCGCCATCTAAACTAATCCCACAGCGGCCATCTTCTGGGTAAAAAATACGATTTTTGATAGTACCTCAAAAATGACCCAGCTGCCTTTCTGGGCACAGAACCAAGAGGCTTCTGGAAGCAGGGCAACCACACATTGCGTAGTGATTGGCAACAAGTTGCCAATGAAGGTGACATATATATAGTTGATCAAAATTGCTTCCCACTGGAATAAACTTAACTCGAAAAATGTTCGAAAGTTCCACGAACTTTTGGGACAACCTAATAGCATGAGAAGTCCTGTAAGTATGGTACCCTTTGTTGAAGTCTTCCTTCTCCGGACATGTTCGGATGGTTCGAATAAAGCCCTCATTGAGATTTTGATTTTTAGGCGTCATTCGGTTCGCTACGAGGCGGTTATGGAGCCGGTGTTGAAGCACATGGATTTGCATGCTCACTGGAAACCACCACCGATATTTGCGATTCATGTTTTCAAAGCCATCATCTACAGTATCCAGAGCCAAAACAGTTACTTTGTTATACAGGTGAGTATTCGAGTGAAGTCTATTGCCTTTCTTCCGCTTTTACTACTTTTATGGGCGCAGGTGTAGCAGAGTCCGGTTTTTGACTTGCTATGAGGTGACGTAGCACTGACATCATGTTAAAGGCAGTTGGCATGAAAAATCCCCCAAGACGACTAGGACACATATGCAGCCGTATCTTCGGTAGCGGTGATTGGTAAGATGCCTACGGGAAACTCGTCCGAAATCGATTTTCAAGTCACTGAGAACGGAGGCTTTTTCTTCGCAGGATTTTGACCGTTTCACTCCGTTCTTTCGCCATTTCCCCACTATACAGCGCCCTACTAGCATTTTAGGCTAAGTAGGAAACCATCGTGCCAACTGCCTTTAAAGGCGAGGGAATCTTTATTGTTTCATTGTCAGCAACGGTCAATACCCGTCATTAACATGTCGTGTGACGTCAATGACACGTCATCCATCTCTGGTCAGATCAGGCACTGGAGCGTACCTGTGCTACACCAGCGCATATTTTAGATCAGAATTTTTTGAGAGGTTTACTTTCATTGCTTTTAAGGAACTGATTAACCATCTCGATTCGATGAGTAGTGCTGATGCTGTGATTCGTATTGGAATTGCCACCGTGCTTTCTAATATAGTATCGATCGCTGGAACGAGTATAGGTAAGGTTAATGGAACGATCAATAGTTCAATGGATCAATATGCCTTGCGAATTGTTCGAACCATACTACAATTGTTCCCAACTGCGACATGAAACGCCCTCAAAATTGAGAGACCGAGGATCGAACTGTTCAGCCTAACCCCGCCTACTCACAAGCCACGCCCCTTACGGCTAGTAGAGGCTGTTAGGGTTGGGAGGAAAATATACAATGTGCTGGTATACCATGAAAATTTCAGGACCGTTGCTGTTGTCGATTTTCAACTCTCTTCTGAAGCACTTGCGAACATCAGTAGATTTTGAGAGGTCAGAGAAATGCAAGGATTCTGAGGCCGAGAAGATGTATCAGGAGGCGCTAATCAACGCTATGGGCGATTTTGCGAATGCGCTGCCGGATTATCAGAAGGTTCGTTGATTATTGCTACTCATACAGTCCTTATCACTGGAGTCAGCCGATGTATGTCAGGGGGGCATAGCTTTTGACGCGGCGCCAGCCCATTCTCCACCAATCGTTGCAGCTTCAGGTGTTTAATGAGTGCTACATAAATGGCTGGCGCCGCACCTAGGCCCACGGACACGCCCCGACTGATTCAGGAGTAACGAAGTGAAGGTGATCACCACGGCTGGAAAACCCTCCAAGGGGATTTTCTACCTTGTGAACTTGAATAGTTCATATTAACCCAAGTGTCACGCTTTATCGAATTCCTAGTTTGTGAGTCTATGCCCATACGTGCCCCATACGTTCCAATAATGGTAGGAGATCAGAATGGACTATTGTGCGCAATTTTCTTTTGACAGAGGCCAGGGAAAGTTTCCGGTTTCCGATAGTCGTGAAATAATGCAGCAATCCCCCGTTGCTCCAAGGCGCCAATAGGAGGTCGGCCTGGTGGGGGCATCGGATGGTATTGGCGAAGCTTGTATAGCCTATCTTGTGATGACAGTTCAATTCCTGTAGTTCACTTGTACCATTTCGCAGCTTCACTAGAGTTCACAAGTTACACCAAAGTGAGATCTGCTACTTAACACGAACTAGTAAAAGAAACTAGCGATAGTGCAAACCCTAACTTTCGTCCCAAAAGCCCAACAGGGACCGGCGATTTATAAACCATTTGAGGCGCGCCCCTTCTCTCAGACACTCGTCTCGACCAGGGAAGGGCCACAAAGCCGAAGATGAAGCAGTATCTGTTTTTGTGTAGAGCTAAAAGGTGAAAATATTAAGGTCCTCTGGGTTTCCTGGTAGAATTCAGATTAGGCTGTGTTGAAATAAAGATGTGAACTAGAATGTAGAATAATTTCAGGTGGAAATGATGATGTTCACTGTGGGAAATATACCAAATTTGGATGAAAAGCGAGTCAAGCAAGGCGACGAGTTTTTGCAACACGTTTTGGTGAAGACATTGCTAAAGGTGAGTAGCAGAGCTTACATTTCAGAGAATCTTGAAGGCGCAGTGGACGCTGGTCGAATGGGCGGTGACACCTAACCATGAGTGCCTTCCCCATCGCAGCTGCGCTCTCTTTGACCGCTGCTGAGGGAGAGACGCAACGGCGAGGAAGGCGTGTTTGCGTGGCACCGCCCATGCAATCAACGTGGACTATAGTTTAGTTTGAAGTTGCTTTTGATTATGTTTTTAGAAAGGTCATTTGAAACTGTGGCTAAAAGCCATGTTGGCAAAGTAACATAGGAAAAAGTAGTACCTAACCAAGCCCGAGTTCACTGTGAGTCTTGAGAAATGCCTTAAAACCCTAAAAGCTCTGAATGAGGAGTGAAATTCTGTGAACCGGTATGTGCCTCCTACAACCATGTTGTGTAATCCATAACCCACTAGTGTTATGACACCCCCTCAATCCAGTGCAAAATTTCCGGCGGAAACGGTTACCTATCGTTTCGGGTCGGGCTTACCCTTGTTGGATCAAATCCTTCAGTGTGTTATGGTTTTTGCAACTCTATGTTTCGCAGATTCATTGAGAAAGGGTCAAGCTTGGCGCTGAGGATTCTTCTTCTTCAGTACGATCCCCTCCTTTGTCTTTAAACTGGCGCAGAAAATTGGAAATAAAGTGAATCGGAAGGAATCGGCAAGCAAAAAATTTCATCAGTCCGGTTGTGACATTTTCTCCACGGCTATGGAGCATCCTTCCCACCCACCCCCCCCCACCCACTTTGTCGAGGACTTCTC